GGTTCATCTGCCAGAGTGTGGAAGGGCTCCAGCTGGCTGTGGTGCAGTGATGTAGCACTGGGACTCACCTGGTTCACCTGGCAGCATGAGGTGCTTCAGAAGTTGCAGATGGCACAAAGGGAGGGATGGTGTCCCACCCTGGAAGGCACTTCCACGTGTCCCATTGACAAAGGGTTGGGTGGGCAGCAAGGGGACCGCCCACTCCAGCTGATCTTTGGCAGGCGATCAGCTGGGCAGGTTCCTCGTGCTCAGGAAATATAATCCTATTAGTGCACACCAGGCATGGGCAACAGCGGCCCAAGGACAAAGGCCTGGCAGAAAGCTGGGACAGTGACACACGGAGCAGCACTCATCTGCTGCTGTAGCCTTAGATGCATTCACAGAGGGAGGGAAATGTAATTTGGATAACATCTTTCAGCCACATAACAAATTAACCAATACTTAATTCATTAGCTCTTGCTCTGGGGTGGGGACCTGTTACTGTGGAAAATGAAGCAAGGAGGCAGTAAAGCATATATTTTCGGAGGTGGCCGCGTGTTATTGGTGCCTCTGCTGTCCTCTACCCGTTGGACACTCAGACCTGGCTCTCAGACCTTCCCGCAGAATCAGCACTGGTAAGTGACCGCCTCCGATGAACACACCCAGCACCTTCGTCCTGGTTTATGACTTTGACACAGGAGGCCCCACTCCAGCCTCCCTCACACCTCTCCCAAACCCGGTACACCTGTCCTCACACCGATGCCTTTGGGGCTGCAGCCTGAGGCTACGTGCAATCCAGAGTACCTGTGGGTATTGCCAGAAGGGGTGCACACTTATACTGGATTATGCCTGATGTCAGGTGTGGTGGGTTGATCTTGGCTGGACACCAGGTGCCCACCAAATCCACTCTATCACTCCCCCTCCTCAGCTGGACAGGAGGGAGAAAATATAATGAAAGGCTCGTGGGTCAAGATAAGGACAAGGAGAGATCACTCACCAATTACCGTCACAGGCAAAACAGACTTGATTTGGGGAAATTAATTTAATTTATTGCCAATCAAATCAGATTAGAGTAATGAGAAATAAAAACTAAATCTTAAAACACCTTCCCCTCACCCCTCCCTTCTTCCCGGGCTCAACTTCATGCCTGATTCTCTACCTCTTCTCCCCTCGAGCGGCGAAGGGGGATGGGGAATGGGAGTTGCGGTCAGTGCATCACATGTTGTCTCTGCCGCTCCTTCCTCCTCAGGGGGAGGACTCCTCACATTCTTCCCCTGCTCCAGCGTGGGGTCCCTCCCACAGGAGACAGTCCTCCA